AACTAACAAAATATTATAATCAACCAAATCATAGAATTTCAATAATTTCGGTTTACAGAATAATATATTAGATGGATAATGGTAGTTTTTCTGAGTGAGAACTCTTATAGCCCTTTTCTGCTAAACAAAAACAGGATGTGTAATCGTCTTACATGCTTTTTCCCATACCTCAACACAATAGACCAAGTGTGGAACAATTAATGCATCAGTTTCTATGATTTTTCTCTTTATAGGTTTGAAAAAAATGAACGTTAATTCCATGAATTATTGATCACATGTCTCTGAAATTCCAAGCAAAAATTTTGTATTTATTTGCAGAAAATGAGAAATGGTCAAAATGACGACAATGATGCAGTGCYTTCAGACCTCAAAYAATGCACCAAAAACAAGTTCATATTCATTTAGAAACAACAATACTAATGTTTTAACCCAGGARCAGTTCAGAAATCAATATTTGGTGAAATGCTTTCAGCCAAATACAGGGAARCTGTGCAGTGGTCTCTTCATTGTTTTTCCAGAGCTGTATAGACGTCACCAGATGCCGTTCTTGGGGTATTTTCCTTTCAATTTTGTCTTCAATAAGTAAACGCCATGTTTAGTGGGATAAAACTCAGGTGATTGACATGACCATTGCATAACATTCAACTTCTTTGCCTTACAAAATGACTTGGTTGCTTTCACAGCTTGGGATCATTGTCCATCTGCACTTTGAAGCACAGTCCAAGAGTTCTGTAGCATTTGGCTGATTATGAGCCAGAAACACTTCAGAATTCATCCTGCTGCCTTTGTCAGCATCACATCATCAATAAATCCAAGGGAAGCAGTTCCATTGGCAGCCACACGTGCCCACACCATGACACTACCAGCGTTGTGCTTCACTGATGAGGTGGAGCAGTTCTTTTTTTCTCCATGCTCTTCTCTTCCCATCACTCTGGTACAAGATGATCTTTGTCTCGTCYGTCCAAACGTTCCAGAAGGCTGTTTAGGTGTTTGGTGACTTGAATCTGGCCTTCCTGTTTTTGATGCTCACCAGTTTACATCTCATGGTGAACCCTCTGTGTTCACGCAGGTAAGGTTTTCTCTTGATTGTTGATGCACGTGTGATGCTGACACAAGTCAGACTTCAGGCTGTAATCGACTGCAAAGGATTTGCAACCAAATATTAAAAGGTGAAAGTTTGATTTATGATTTGTCTCATTAATTTGGGTCTCTTAAAAAATGGGAGGCCCATCTACAAATTGTTTGGATGTAAATATCTTCAAATTAAAGCTGTAAGTTTGGAGTTGAAGCACATCTTTGTTTCATTTTGAATCTATCATTGAGGTGTTTGCAGCCAAAAAGATGAGAAGTGTGTTACGTCCCAATATTTATGGTTTGTGTTTTAATGGTATTTGGTGTTTGCTTGTTGTCTGAACTCATATTGTATATAAAGATGTAACATCCAAMAACAGGTTCTTGATTCTCAAACACTTTTTAATGTAGCCTGAATTAATTTCACTGAAGAATGAAGCTGCTTTTAGTTAAAACTGTTTGGCAGTCATTCATGGCATCACCCCCTCACTGTGCATTTCTGAGCGATGACACACCACTTCCCCCAGAAAACTGTGGGGGGCCACAAATACTTTTCTCTACTCATTTGTATTTTTAYTGTTTCTCGGGGGAAAACACAAGTCTGAAACAGGCTGTAGTTTAACGCTCACTGATAAAAGTCAGAAAACATTTTAGATGAATTTAAAGGAAAAATTATGTAAGATTTTTGTATTTTTATGACACTAAAGTTATCTTGCATATTGAAACTTCACGTTTGTAATACTATAAAACAAGTTAAACCTTTTTATCAATTGATATTTTAATTTTGTAATAATAACGTACGTAAAAACGTAAAAAAAATCTAACATTTACACAATAAAAWTTTCTGTTCTGATTTTTGAACAGTACTCTGACAAAAAAAAACAAGTAAAGTTGTTGGAAGAGAGGTGGGTGTATTATTCTATAATAATCAAAAAGGAAAAATAAGTAGGTCCTCTGGACCTACTTTTCCTTTTTGATTTTGCTACCTGGATTACTGAGATGCATCAGGATATTCTTCAAAATTTAAGTGTTGATAAATAATAAGATTGTTCATTATAAAACAAGAAGATTTATAATGTGAACGAACCTATCAGAGCATGTGTATTGGTTTTCTTCCCAACAGTAATTTTAGTCTGAAGGATCGTGTGTGTGTGTGTGTGTGTGTGTGTGTGTGTGTGTGTGTGTGTGTGTGCGTGCGTGCGCGCGCGCGCGCGCGCGCGCTCTGTCGCCCCCTAGCGGCAGGTAAGAGCGCCTGTTCCTGTGAAGTCACGTGACTTCGGGGAAACCGCTCCTCCGTCGTGTCTGAGCAGAACCTCAGAGCCGAGCCTTCACACAGTCTACAGGCAYCGGAGAAAACACAACTGAGGTAAACGAAACTTGCACCCACTTCCTTAATTTAACACCTAACCGTCTATTTTGGATTTACTTCTTATTAAAACAGTCGGCGGCGGGCATTGGGGTCGAGTTTGTTATCACGAAACCTGATTCTGCTTTAAAAACATCTAATTTAAGAATTGCCGTAAAAGGTTTTTGTCGTTTCGTGCGTGAATTTGATAACGAWGCTTTTAACCCATAGACTTAAATATAAAGTTATCGATCAAGTTCAAGTTCTAGTCGAAAGATTCAAGTCTAAAAGATCAAGCTCCTTGTTTTAACCTGATTTTATGCAGTTGTAAATCATTATTCGTCCATAGAAAATGTTGAGAAATAAGATTTATGAACTGTTGCTTTTGTTTCAGTGTCACCATTTGTTTATTTGTTTGTTTGTTTGTTTGTTTTTCTCAGCTGGAGTCATGGCCGCAGGCAGAATGAGATCCACACGCAGACTTCGCTCCTGGATTGTTGAGCAGGTGTGTGTGGGAGGAGGGAGGGAGGAAGGAGGGAGAGAGGGAGGAAGGGAGGGGGAAAGGAAATAGAAAGAGACCCATACAGTTTGTTAAAACTAAAAATATAACACCGGAAGTTTTACTGCAGAAACTGCTGACTCATACATGAGTGAATGTTGGTTAAAGGGCATTTACTGCACTACTAAGTAATTATTATGGCATCCCATAATATGCTGTACTTCAGGGAACTGGCAGCTCATCAAACTATTTAACTATTGAACTTCTACCTCTTTAAAAAAAAAAAACTTAAGCTTTTTACAGCAGCTTCTGTRTAGAAGATGTAAAAAGGTAACCTGCCAATAGCTGTTACAATAAGCTGACTTTAAACAATTTATTTTCTAAATCTTATTAGTCATATTTATTGAAAATGCTTTGAGTGTCTGCTGTGTGTGTTCAGGTTCAACCACGCCAGAATTTAACACTTAAAATCTGTTAAATTGACTGACTTAGAGAAAATTCAGTGCTGGTTAATGTTGATTGTAGGGTTGGGCATAATCGTGTCGTGTGCGATTAATCGTCAGAAAAACATTAATCGATTATTTTTGGGCACTTGATGATTAATATGATTAATGCCACCGGTCCGCCCCATGCTCCTCTCTGCGTCCAATATGACGAACATTAAAACAACAAAAAAGTTYTGTAATTTATTTATCATAAGTCCAGTATTTCTTGGTCTATCAACACAGTTAAAAATTTGATGTGTAGCCTGAAGTGTGTAATTTTGACAAAATTTGGAACAGATTTTTGCAAAGAGCAAATCTTTCCCACTAAACTGGTCATGTGACCAGGACATGAGGGTGTCCAGGGACTCCAGGGCATTAATCGCCAAATTAATCGCTATTGGCTAAATACCACAATTAATTGTGATTAATTATTTTGCCAATATTGCCCAACCCTAGTTGATTAGCTGTGTTGGYCATCTTTAATCAAACTGACATCAAGAAATAATCAGCTGTAGATGTACATCTAATGGTTATTTTCTGAATGCTTCATTAAAATCCATCCACTGATTCATGGAATATTTTGCTAACAAGCAAGGTTGTTTCCAATATTTAACGCTAACGTTTAAATGTAAGAAGTAGTACCCYGTAGCACGTGTTGTGAAAAACTCTGTTATTACCGCACCAAATTTTATCTCAATATTTGTACATTTGACAGGATTATAGTCATTTTTGCCTCGTCTAAACTCACTTTGTTGTGGTGCTCATTTTGAATTGAGTTCACTTCAAAAGTTAAACAGTTATRGATAATTATTATACAGTAATACATATTATACAGTAATTATTTTTCTCAAAGTTTTGGTAAGATACACAGAACCCATCTGGTGACTTTGGATCAAAAAATGTGTGGCCAGGAGATAATTCTGAGCAGCCTACAATTACTCCATGCCAAACCACAACTGACTGAAGTATGACATAGTAATACTAAAATGAAGTTAATTCAAACAGTTAACACTTTCTACATAGAAATGACTGCAATAATTATCTTATGGGCACAATATTATTTTTTAATCCGTCGTCACTAGACGAGCTCTGGAAAAAAACGGCTGGTGGTTTATGATATACTGTATTTATTCATGTATAATACTAGAAATTTAACCCTAAAAATCATCCATAAAGTGTGGTGTTGGGGTAGTATTATACATGAGTTATTGATAATTCGATTTTTAATGCTTTTTAAGCTCAAAAAATGACGATCTTATTATACATGAATAGATACGGTATTTTGATAGCAGACAACATTGACTGCAATTTTTTAAAGAGAGATCTCAGAATATGTTTTGAGGATGATTTTCATCGACCACAACAAACTTTAGGTTAATTTCTGTAAGATCGACTGCGTTTTAAAGTCAGTTGGCCGTGGCAGCCATCTTGAATGGGTGGCAGGCAGACAGTAATAAATGTAGTTTTTAACCAGAGGATTTCCTGTGGAAATACTGTGTGAATGCTTAGTGCTGAAGACTGCTGAAGCCAAACTGAACAGGTTTATTAGCAAAACTGTCAATTTGAACAGCTGACTTTGGCTGAACGTAAGGGAACAGAAGTGCAGAATCGGCAGAAAATAGGAAAAATGCTTCAAAAAAATCAGAGCAGAGCAGAAATGTAGCTAAAGTTAGCAGAAAATGGTAACTATTTGCAAAAATGTTGCATAAAAAGTAAAAATTCATGAACAAAATATTAACAACAAAAAAATGAATAAAGTTGAAGTTTAGCCAGAAGAAGGTAAAACATGCAGAAAAATTATTAAAATGTGACCATGCCCTTTTATTTTGTGACCTTAAAATTAAGAGGGTCATCAATGAAAGTTGTTTGCTGAATTAAGCAGTAAGAAGCTGAAATTAACACAAAATACTGAATTTAGCTTGGAAAAAACTAATATTAGGTGAAAATAGCTAAAATGTAGCAGAAACTGAAAAAGCACATATTTGCTGGATTAAGCTGAAACTATGAATTTAGCTTTTAATGACACTAAAGAGTAGTTGAAAGGGCAGGAAAAAAAATCTAAACAACAGAATGAAGCTGAAAGGAGCATAAAAAGCTTAAAATAATAGTAAGTAGTAAAAAGAAGTACATCAAAACTGATATTAGTAACGCTGACAGAGGATGAGTGGCTAAACATACGCCACATTAACTCCACTACCACAAGCTCAGGACATTGGAGGGAATTTTCATGGAAGAATATCGTTAGATTTTTTATAATCCCCAAAAGAACATCCTCTCAGACCGGCAGGACCGAATCAGGGCACTGTTGGAGACAATGTAATAATGTGATGGCTAGGGCTGCCACGATTATTCGATCAATCGACGAC